CTGGCACAGGGGCGGAGGCCAGGGAGGCGGCAGGGAACCTGGCCTGGCCTCTCCTGCCTTCCTTCCTCTCTTCCTCTTCCTCACCTCGACTGCCTGGTTCCCCCATCTCCTGGGGAAGAGGGCCTCCCAGAGGAGGAGAGCCCTGGTGGGGAGCAGTCAGCTTGCCCCAAGCCAGTTCTATGACTTTGGGTCAGGCTCTGAGCCTGTCAGTGTCCCCAGTTTTCAGATGAAGCTGCGGGAAGGCATGATTCCAGGGAACCCTAGAATCTGAGTGGCTGCTTTCGGGGCAGCTGCTTGAGTTAGGGACCACTCGCCTGCCTTATCTGTCCTCCGTGCAACTCTTTCCACACCACGTCCTTGACCTCCTCATTTCCACATCAGCCCCCCACTCCCGGGTCACATCCAGAACCTTGTTCTCAACGACATCTGCACCTGCTTTACCCTCCTGACCACGGCCTCCTACAGTTTCAGCAACTCATTTTCAGTCACTTGTACCACATTTGCCTTTCAACATCTTTGAGACTCCAGTCTGTGGCTCATTCTGCTTTCTCCCTTCCTAGCAACCTGCTGCTTCTTGATCCTATAGAGTCCCTGGGCCTTTACCCGAGCCATTTTCTTGCAAGAGTCCTCCATATCCTTGTCCTGCTTTCTCTCCATCCCTCCCACTCAGTGAGACCCCAGTCAGCCTGCTGACACCCAGGTACTGAAGAAACCTTGACCAACCAGCCACGTTACATAGACGGAATGGCAGCGTGTGGTCTCCAACCTCAGCTGGACCCTAAACTCTGCACACACATCCTTCCACTCCCCCCAGCTCGGTTCTGTCTTCTTTCTGCTCAGTGGCTATTTCAAACCTTGTCCTCCCTGCTGAAACCTCCTACCTCTTCCCTTCCCTCTTCCCACTCAGAAGGTAAACTTACTTCTCTCTTCAGAGAGAAAATAGAAGCCATCATATGGGAATGTTCTCAGCTTTCTGCCATCAGACCTACAAGCTTGCCTGCTTTTGTCTCCTTGCTTTCCTTTCTCCCTCCTGCCCTGATGGGAGGGACCCGCACCTGCCCTCTGATTCTGTCCAGGATGACTGCTTCTCCATGACAGCCTTGAAACCCGTTCTCTGCCACAGGGCCACCCGTGTACACACCCTCACCACACTCCGGGCCTTTGTTCCTGCTGTCCCCTCTGCCTAGAAGTTTCTTCTCTAATCTCCCCAACCCTTTACTCCCCTTCCTTTACATATGCTCCCTTAACCTTCAGAACCCAACTTGACGGGTGAAGTCTTTCTTCCACGATGGAGTTAGGTGGCTTCAGAAGGAGTCCTGACTGGACAGTGTCTGCCAGACACTGTTCTAGACTCTTGGAATATGCAGATGAATACTTTAATGATAATATTGTTAGAAGATAACATTAGTAGACATTCAAGAAATGTATTCTCAGAAGAAAGCATTAGGAGTCATTACCTAGCATTGTGGCAAAATATCTGTTATCATTGTCTGTCCCGGACACATGGAACAGGATTGCAATATGTAGTCCTGTTCTGAAGATGTTCAGTTGGGGTGTGAAGACACATCGGATACCCATAAAGAGTTACAAATCAGATTATTCGCCATACAACTTGAGCCAAGGCTGGAAGAGCGGGCACAGGCTGGACGTGATTATGTGCCAACTGATTGGCATCGACAGGAAGTTCTTTTGGGGCTACGAAGGAGGCGATCATTTCAGCTGTGGTGTTTCTGCCCATCTCATAAAGGAAAGCGCCTATTCTGTGAGAGCTGCTGGTGAGGGCGTGGGCTGGGCAGGCCTCCTGCAAGGGTCACCCCCTCACCCACCCCAGACATCCAGGGAGGCATCTGAGGCCCCAAGAAGGGGCAGGACGTGGCGGTTTGAGGAGCTGAAGGCTTTGCAGCTCTGTGCTGGTGGCTCATTTCTTGTAAATGGTTCTATCAGAAATATCTAAGCAATGCTCTTCCGCCCTTCAACGCCCACCCAGAAAAGATGAAAGTGGATTCTTCATCAGCTATTTTAATAGCATCTCAGAATTATGCAATCGTTTGGAAAATCAAATTGGCTTTTCACCCCCTTTGTGCGTGCGTGTGTGTGTGTGTGTGTGTGTGTGTGTGTGTGTCCCCGCACGCAGGCACGCAGGGAAATGGTGCTTGTGCCTAGGGTCTGTTTAATATTCAGCAGTATGTGCCTTTTGCTTGCTCCCGGGGGGTCGTGTAATGCACAGCACGAAATGAGAGGAAGGCTGGAGGGAAGGAAAGGCAGCTGGCCAGTCAATTGCTGTGCCCACCTGCTCTTTCAAGAGAGAGCTGACTCTGCTGCCTTTGTCTCCCATCCTTCTTTAAAGAAGGTGTCTGCAAAGGACAAACCCTGTAATGCACACGTGCAAAGTGGGTTCTCAGTCACGTGGCCAGAGGTCACCGCCATGCCAGCTCACGTGTAGACTCCCCTCCGTCCCAGCCGTGGTTCCCTCTGCTTCCCCAGCTCTCTCCCCGCGCTCCAGCCAACTTGTTTCCCAAATGGGCCCTGAGATGTTTCATCTCTGAGGTCTTCGCTCATGCCTACCCCACCCTACTCTCTTCTTTGAAGCTCATCTGAATTTACTGATCCTTCAAGGCCCATCTTAAAAGTTACCTCTTTCATGAAGGCCTTTCCAGAATGCCTTCTTCTTTCTCCCTAAACCTTATGTTTTTTCTGGTCCCTTTTGGTCCAGTGGGACGTGCCCAACCAAGATGGCATCATCCACCCTCACTGGGTCAGCCTCTCTCTAATCTTCATGACTCTTCTCCATGAAGACGGCATTAGAGAACAGCTGAGCCTCAGGGTCCCTGGCTAACGAGCAGCAGAACAGTTTTAAAACCCCAGTCCGGCTGAGTCCAAAGCTCACCCTGCACCCCAGAGCCCCCTCCCCACTCAGTCTGACTTTCCTGCTTGGCACTTCATTTGTACCCACCTATTGCACCAATTGTAGGCGTTGCAGGCACGGCCTCTCGAGTCAAGGCTTGAGTTTGAATCCTGGCTCCATCACTTGCTAGCTGTGGACCTTGGGTAACTGATTTAACTTCTCTGGACCTCAGTTTCCATATCTGTAGAATGGAGATGGTAAGAATAGGATTGTCGTGAGGGTGAAATGAGAGAATACGTGGAAGGGTCTTAGCACAGTGCCCGACACATGTAAGTGCTTGGTGAGGGTTAATGCTCATTATTGTACTGTTTTCACCGTACAGTGACACCTCCTTCAGTAGGTTATGAGCTTGTGTCTGAGTCCCCTGCTTTGCCCACACAGCGCCTACTTCATGGTAGGTGTTCGGCAAATGAGAACTAAATTAATGATGATGGTGATGCTGGTTTCACAGCTGGCTTTTCTTCTGAGAGATCCAGCAAGCTGCCAATTGGTACCCCCAAAGATATCTGGCTCGAAGTCTAAATGACCTCGCCCAGGGCTGGGCTAAAGGCAGGAGCTTCGGTTTCTAAGCAGCTTGTCCCCAAAGAGCATTTGGCCTCTTTTTGAACAAAGCAACTTCTAGATTTTGGAGTCTATACCCAATGGCCTACTCTGCCTGTCCTCGATCCCATTAGAGATGTTGACTGAGATGGTGGATGACCTTCAAGCAGAAGGTGAACGGGCAGATACCCTGGTAGCGAGACCAAGAGGCTGACACAGTTAGTCATGCCCCCTAATGCATCAGCTTACCGAGGGGACCTGCAAGAGGGAAGTTTCAGATATTGAAACTTAACCCTTGAAGCACTATAGTTCTTTTATTATTTCCCCCATATTTTGAAAACCATTAACAAATATATTGCCTACTTCCCGGTCTAATTAAACAGAACATATACAACATAGCAATTGACCTTGGCTACTGTTTACCAAGCGCTTTCCCTGCCTTCAGGAGCTTGTTAAATCTTGCCAGTAATCCACTGGGGCCAGAGCCACTGTCTCCACCTCACAGATGAAGAAGGACGTCTCGGGGAGCGTAAATGGCTCTATCGGGAAGTGGCGGAGCCCCACTCTAACCCTACGTAGACTCCAGAGTTATTTGCTCTTCATCTTTGCAGTCTCTTGCACAATGCAGCCTTTCCCTGGTGACACAAAGTCAGTAATTGTGCTCCAGGTGCAGTACTGTTGATGTGGCTGGAGCCATCTGCCCCTACACTCACTGGCCCCAGGTTCGCAGGCTCGGTCACTTAGCGTCTTAACCATTTCTCCCTCTGCTTTGCCTTTCTACCAGAAGCAGCCACTCGAGCTTAATTCCTGTTCACCTTCTGGGTCTGAGAAAAGGAAACTGATGCTTTGCTAGAACTGTGTCTTAAGTAAGAGCCAAGTGGCATCTACTTGGATGCTGGAGTCGTTTTGGTTCTGTTTTCTCAACCGTATTTTGGATAGATACAGCCCTTGGTTCAACGGCCCACAGGTTATAGGAGGTGAGTTCACTGCTCCTCTCTCTCAAATCAAAGGCATTTATTTTATATGATTGTATACAGGAGCACTGAACTCACCTCTTACATTCGTGGGGTTAGATTCGCCTCCCTGAACGCAGACTCTGAGATGGAGAAGTGCATTTGCTGGAAGGCTCCCGGGACAGACACCTATCAGGAAGTGGGCAAGGCAAGATTGGGGAGAGGGAGAAGCTTGTCTCAGGAGAAGAGCACACAGTTGGTGCTTACTAAGAGTCTGTGCCTTTTCATTACCGGTAATGCCCCCAGGTCCCCTTCTTTGTCTCTCCAAAGAGCCATCGCCTGCTCACTTGAAAGATGTGAGACCTTCCTCATAGACTAAACCGTCCCACAGGCTCAAAAGAGAAAAAGGAAGCCAGCCTGTAGAGATGGAACCTAATTTAGAAACATCCATGCAGCATTTGAAACAAAGGCAGGCTGGGACCAGGCCCGGTCAAGGCCCAGCCTCGCGGCGTCCTCCGGAATTTTGCCTAAGAAGGCGAAACTAGCAAAGGCACCTGCTTAACTCCCAGGGCTCTGCGGCAGGACCCTCATTTAGAAATGTTCCTGGGAAACTTTGCCACAGAGTGTAACTCTAGCCAAAGCTCTGCGCAGGCCCAATTCTCTAGGCTCAACTGAGCTTTTGTTCATACTCCCAAGTCCTGATGTTATCAGATTTCGCCTGATGTATGATGGGCGCATAAAGACCACTTGTATTTAAAGAGAGCTATTGACTGATGGGGGGAAGGGGGTCTCCACGTGATGGCATGGGGCACTGAGCCTACATTCTCCCCTGTTGTCCTGTGGGAGGCGAGCCGAATATGGGTACCATTACCACTGCTGAGAGTAACGGGAAGGGTGTCGTTACCTATTACAGCATTTCATAGGACAATGCTGTAACTTTTACTTGCATTATTTCAGTTGGTCCCCACGAGTCATTGCAGTAGGGTGCTGTGTGAGGGCAAGGAAGTTGTTGACACTCTCTGGGCCTCAGTTTTCCCATCTCTAAAATTATAATAGAGCCTCTCAAGTTTCTCTGAGGATGAAATAATGTAATATTCATGAAGCCTTTAAAGAACACAGCACCCAACATTTAGTACTTTCTTCATGAATGCTGGAAATGATTGATAGGCATTTTCAGCGTCACTTTAGGGAGAGGAAACCGAGGGGCTAAATTTATGAATAAGATACCTGGGCATGAAGGAAGGAAAACACTGGTGGGAGTGGGGGGTGGGGTGCCATGCAAATAGGGCTTGATTTTCCTGTGCTGGATTTCCATCACGAACCTGTATATGCCTTTAAACTTGGGAACAGAGGAAATACTGAGTCCTCAAAAGAAAAAAGCAAATGAAAAAAGAAAAAAGGGATAGTGTTACCATAGAAAGAAAAATAAAAAAGACCAAAACACTTGCACTTTTCACACAATTGAAGCCGTTTTATCTTTATGTTTCGGTCTAAATACCAGCAAGAGTATCATATTCACAGAAAATTAGGCTCGAAAAGGATCACGTTGTTCTGAACCCTTTATTGAGGGTTTGGCTTTTGAAGGCTGGCACTGCAGTTTGGGTTTTCACACCCGCGTGGACTCACCTCATTGTGGTCACTTCCTCCGCGAACAGGAGTTGAACCGGCAGACCCCTCGAAAGCAGACGAAGCTGTGATCCTGGCGCCTTGGACCCCCTGGTCTCCTTGGGAATGAAGGTCATCGGGGTTCTCATGGTTTTTGCCTCCTGCCGTAAGTTGTGAGCACCTGGGAGAGCTCCCAGGCGCTGTCCTCCTGTTTGTGTGTCTGTCTGGGCGGGCCCACCTGAGGTGGCATCAGGTGAGGGGAAATCAGGTGTCACTTGAGAGAATCAGGAGTGGGACAGGCTGCCACCAAAGCCCTCCTGCTTCTGTTTCTTCAGCAAAATGGGCTGCTGCCAGCATTGGGGTCTCACCAAATTTCTAGGAAATCAAAGGTAGCCACCGTTTGCTAAGAAAGAGGGTGTTTGACTGTTTTACCACACACACCCTCTTCAGGAGTCTTTCTTTTGGATGCTTAGTTGCCTTTATTTAAAGTCACGTTGATTCCAGAACAAAAAACGCAGACATATATCTACCTAGTTTGGGAACAGCTATTTCCAATCAGAGAGGCATGCTTATGGTGACTCCTGGAATAATTGGTAATTATAAGTCATTGCCACCAGGAGATCAGATTGCATACCTCTGCAAAGTGAAAAGAATGTAAAGGGAACAGCATTAGTTCTGTTGGAAAACGCTTCGACTCTTTGATTAGTTGAGTAGATATTTGTCCAAATCTCTTTTTCTATCTGGTTTAGCTGTGGAGCAATAACTTTTGGGTCCCAAAGTCAAAATGTCAAAAATGGGGTTCCCATTTTCTCTTAGTAAGTCCTGGAATTTAGTGACCCATATGCAGGAAAGGCCACTTGTGCTGCCCTGTGACCAGGAACTGTGGTCCCACCCTCTCTCCAGGGACTGCTTGGGCAGCAGTGACCACACCCAGGCTTTGGCCACCTCTCTGGTGCTTTGTGACAAGATATCCAAAACCACAGTAAGAGATGGGGAGGCTCCTGGGAAAACTCCCCAAAGCCCTCTTTCTCTTTTTCTCTTTTTCAAGTTCATGTTTTTATTTTTATTGCAAAATTAATATATGCTTGTAACTAAAAGGTAAAATGAATATAGAGTAACATCCTTCCCAGACCCCAATCCTTTTCCTAGTCCCAGGTGTAATCACTTTTAAGAGTGAGGCATACATCCTCCAGGCCTTGACACATTTAAAACATTGTAATGGAAAAGTAATACATGCTCATTGTAAAAAATAAACATCAGACAGCATAAAAGTATGTAAAATAAATCTTGCCTGTTTTTCTCTCCACCTACCTCAATCTCATTGCCTACAGATATTGCTATTAAAAGTAGTATGTTTTCAAGACATTTAGTTTTTATCCCCCTGTCAGTGGGAATGTGGGTAGTTTCCAATTTCTTGATATCACAAACAATGCCGCAGTGAACATCCATATATATATATATATATATATATATATATATATATATATATATATATATATATATATATCCCGCTTTTGTAAGCAAGTTTTAGAAGTAAAAATTGCTGAGTCCATGTGTTTGCCGTTAAAAAAAAAAAAGGATCGAAAGCATCTTTTCTGCCTCTTAAGTATTTTGTTTCTTCTGTGAGATTATAAGCGCCCTGTGATATTTGTCGGGACTGGAATTTCTGGTTTTGAACTTTTCCCGTTAATGTTTAACATCAGACCTCAGGTGTTTCTGCCTAGGTTGGTGGGGTTTTTTTACTTTTAGGGGAAGGCTGTAGTTTGATGGTGTTCTGAGCATCATGGAAACTGGGTTCTCACCCCGGGCTAGTAAGAAACTAGCTGTGTGACACAGCAGCTGGCTCTGATCCTATCTTCTTCCCCATTCAAGGGGCTGACGATCCCAGCACGCTGTGCCATCACACTCGGGGGTCTCCTGATCTCCGGCTCACGGGGCCTCCTGGGATCCCGAATGCAAAGCCCTCTCGCTAGGGGGCGCCAAGGCTGCCTTGCTCTCATTGCACTTTTTCTTCTTATTTTCTCGTTGGCAGTGATGGCCTCCACTCACAGCAGCTTCTGGCAGTTTCAGAGGATGGTCAAACACATCACAGGGCGGAGCGCCTTCTTCTCATATTACGGATATGGCTGCTACTGTGGGCTAGGGGGCAAAGGGACCCCCGTGGATGACACTGACAAGTGAGTGCAGGGCTCTGAGGCCTCCTGTCATTTAATTTGCATTGAGATCCCTGCTTGAAGAGAGAGAAGGCATTGGGACTCTTGCATTGCAAGTAATAGAAACCAATTCAGGTGAACTGAACATAAAAAAAAAAAAGAAAATGAATGTGAGTGGAAGGGAGGTCTTGAGGAACCCAAGGCCAGGGTTGGCTTCCTGAACAGGAAGCATTCCTATGACCTTGCACGTGCTTTATTTCTCTGCTGTCACCATCTTGAAATTCTTAAATTTTCATTGTGCACCAGGCCTTGCAAATGATGCAGCCAGTCCTGCTCAGAGCTCCAGAAACATTTTCAATTGTCAGTTCTCTTGGCAAATGTGGTCTCTCAGCTGCCCAGTTTTTGCTTATAGGCGCAGCAAGACTGACCCGCTGTCTCCCAGTCCTAATTCCATACTCTGGGAGAGAGAATCTGAGTCGCCCAGTTTGGAAAAGTTGTCCACCTGGATGAGGTCACACGGCACCAACCTGGCTCGCCAGGCCTGCTCCAAGGATGGGGGTGGAGGAATGTGAGTTCCTAGAAAAAACGAAGGTTGGTGTCATCTGGCAAAAGTACAGGAGGTAGGAAAAAGGATAATGTGTGTGCCATTTCATTGGAAGGAATAGAAACAAAATGTGCCTCGCTCCTTTCAGCCTCCCCTGGATAAATATGTCCCCCACAGCGGGCCTGAAGTGTCACTCCTGGAGCTTGGTGCCTCTGGGTTGGGCTCATGAGACATGAAATGTTCCAGCTGGAATCCCTGGAAGGAAACTGACACTGATGAAATGCCCACTGAGTGCCGAGCACTGGGATTGGTGATTTGCAGTCAGGACCTAATTTAATCCTTGTAGCAAATGGCTGAGACAGTGTTACCATCCCCATTTTACACGTGACAACAGTGAGGACCCACGAAACCTAAGTGGCAAAGCCTAAAGACATGAGCAACCAGGTGGCAAAGTCAGGATTTCAACAAGAATTTGCCTGTTTGGGGGCCCTTTGACACTCTGTGCCTCCTCTGTCCAAATTCAAAGGCTGATGAGAAACCTAACACTATTAGCCAAAGAAGACAGACGGCAAAGAGCCCCTCTTGCAGACTGGGATGGGGAGAGGGGAAGGCTGAATGTCTGGCCCAGGGCATCAGTCGAAAGCATTTGCTTTCCCATGTCTTAGGATTCATTCCCAGGTTTCTGCATCCCTGTCCCTCAGACACTGATTGAGGAGGTGACCCAAGACTGTTACCCATCTGTTTTCTCCCCGCAAATATTCTCCCTTCCTTCCCCCCAGCCAACCAAGCACCATGAGAATAAGAACTAAAGGATTATGTATGTTTTTACTATCACTGTGCTTGGCACATAGTAGGTGCTCAGTAAAAAGTCATTCAATGAATGAACGAGTGCAGCAGACCTAACGTTGAGTCCTGGGCCCATCATTTTCCAGCTGTGTACTTTTGGGAAATGCACCTCTCCAAATCTCATGTCCTCCCCTAGGAACGGGGGACAATGATCGTACTTCATAGGGTTACTGTGGGGAGCTAATGAGATAGGTACTAGACAGGGCCCACTAAATGTTAGTGGGCATTCATATTATTTTTAATATCATCAGGAATTTACTTCCCTACCTTCAGCGCCTTTTCGCCCAGGGTGGAGGCAGGTGAGTCCTTTCTAGTTCCCACCAAGGTCCTCCAGCTGACTCCCCAGGGCCCACCCACAGGTAAAGCCCTTCACCTCCCTCTCGTCTGGCCCCCAGGTGCTGCCTGGAGCATGACTGCTGCTACGAGAAGCTGAAGCAACTCGGCTGCCAGCCCGTGTTGAACAGCTATCAGTTCCACATCGTCAACGGCACCGTGGTCTGTGAGTAGCCTCTCTGTGGGGAAGTGTCTTTGAACCTGAGCCTTTCCTTAATGTCTGCCTCCTCGAGGACCCAGAGAACATTTAGGAAATAGATTTTCCCCAAGAGCTTTGAGATGAAAAGCAGCAATTGCCAGGTCGCTCCTGCGCACAGCTGTACCCAGCATCCTCTGGGAGCATGGAGCCGGTGTACATAGTATGTGCTCAATAAATTGTTGACTTGCGATTACATTGAATTTTGCAGCTTTCGCTTGGCAACTGTTGCTGTTGAGAACATTCCTCCTTATGTCTGTCATGTGTTAGCAAAGCAGCTCAGCTGTCTTTCAGTTGAACAAATATTTGTTAAGGGTGATTGCGTGCCAAGCACTGTGATAGGTGCCGTGGGGGACACAAAAGTAATAGGAGGGGACTGGGAAGGGAACGCACATTGTCACTGAGGCCATTCAACAAGGAGGGCAAAGGACAAGTGTGGGCAAGTACTGAGTGTCCAGTAGGTGGGGAGTGGCCCCTGATATCTTGGGGGATGTTCTGGGTCTCCTGGGTGTAGGTGTGTGTAGGGCAAGGTGGGTCTAAAGGGCAGCATATTCAAAGCCTCCTTGTGAATGCCACTCCTTCCAGCAGAGCCTGTGGTTCAAATGTCCCTAAGAATGTGCGACTCACCTCTTACCTCGCCTGTGGAGTTACACCCTTCCTCCCCATGTGTGTTTATTCACAGCTGTGTGTGTGTCTTGGAGTTCATGTCTCTTCCCCAGGTCAGGGAACCACTGTCTCCCTTCCCCTCATCTCCCCGCTTTAGGGGGTGCTCAGTGCTTATACCCCAGGTCTCCTCAGCACCCCCCACCTAGGGCTCTGGCTCAGGATACACCAAGACAGACCAAGAGTCAGGACTGTGCAAGTCTCCCTGGTCCCAGGGGTGAGATCTGCAACTCAGCGGGCTCGGGCCGCAGACCCCTGCCACTGGAGGGCCAGCTTCAGCTGGGTCTGCTTCTCAGCCTCCATCGTGCCCTGCCCCGGGCATATGTCAAGGGGGAGGGAACCCCCCTTTTTTCCAGGAGAGTTCAAGAGACTTCCTGTGTTGGAGCTGTCTGGCCGTGACCATCCTCAGGCTTAAAGCAAAGTGTCTCTTCTGTGAGGACCCAGGGCCACGTCTAGGAGATGGGAAGGGATCAGGGCTTAGTGCGGGAGCCGGGGCGGGGGCGCCAGAGGAGCCTGCCCACAAAGTATGGTTTGCTGCGGCCTGTGATGCCCTCTGGAGACCAGAGACCAAGCTTCTGACAACTTCTTTCCACCCCTTTAGGTCCCACACCCAGGATGTGGGGGAGGGGTTGGGGACAGGCCTGGCTGCTGGGTGACGAGGGAGGGGGCACACACAAAGGCTCCCCCTGACTCTTCCGGGCCTGGCTCATGGACCTCCTTTCTGCTCCCTGGTTTCCTCTCACCTCTTTTCATCTTGATCTGTCATGTCAAGTGTTACCTTAAAATGGTTGAAAAGGCATCTTTTTAGCAGAAAATATACTCAAGAAGTGCTCTCCTGTGATGTCCCCATAAAGCATAGGGAGCAAAGAAGGGGAAGTTGCTCTGAGGAAGGAAACGGAACGTGAGTAGGTGCAAAGGACCTTCCTGCACTGTCGTCCTGGCCCAGACCAAGCCCCTGCCCTCGGCTCCAGGGGGGGTGGGGCTGGCCGTGCCCATGAGGCTTGGGCGCTCTGCACCTGGAGTGGCTCCTTTATCATCCCTCCCATGTGGGGGTCAGAGCCATAGCCCAGGACCCCAGGAGATGGAGGGGCTGGAGGAAAGTGACCTGGGGCAGAGGCTGGAGCCCCAGGAGGTGGCATGCAGAAACGTCCTCTGCTTGGCACTGGCTGGATGGTGGCAGGAGCTGCAGGCAGGGAGACACAGGGCGGGGGGCCGGACTGGAAAGCTCGTGGCCTGGCTGTGCTTTCTAAGAGGCTGCCAGGGGCACTGAACAAGGCAGCCTCAGGCCCTGCTCTCTTGGCGTTCTCCAGAACTGAAAGCACCCTTAGAGATCATCCAGACCAACCCTGCATAGTAGCGATGGAGAGACTGAGGCCCAGAGAGGGGAAGGGCTTGAGCCAAGTAACAGTCAAGAGAGAAAAACGCATGTGTCTGAGCCCTTCCAGGACTCTGGCACACACTGCCTGCCTGAGTTTTCTGGGCTTCAGTCTGTTCATCCATAATATAGGTGCAGTAGCAACAACTGCAGGTTATGAGCATCTGTGACAGCACCTGGAACCCCCATGATAAGCCTTTGAGGTGGGCATTATTCTCCCCATTATCCAGGAGGACCATGAGGCTCAGAGAGGTTAAGGGAGATGGCCAAGGTCACACAGCCAGGGAAACAAGAGTTGGGATTTGGACCCAGGTCGTCTGACCCCAGAGCTGGTGCTCCTGCCTCACGCCATCCTCCCCAGTGGCAAGGGGCTGTCGGGAGGGCGATGGGGATGCATTTGATTGGGGGGCTCACACAAATAAATGTAAGTCTTCCTGTCTGCAGCACTTTCATCAGGATGCTCAGCCCTGGCCCAGAGGGCAAAGAAAGGCAGATGGAGTTTGCTCCTCTGCAGTGCCCTAGATCTCTCTGTTTGAGCTCTGTGTGCCCTGCTAAGAGCCCAGAGAGAGCGTTGGAGTCGGGCAGAGGTGGGTTCGAATCCCAGCTTCACCCCTTCTAACTGCATAATTGTACAACCACCTGAGCCTTTGGCTCCTCATCTGTAAAATGGAGATAATAATGCACCTCCTAAGGCTGCTGTAAAGAAGGACTGAATTAACCCAACCAAAGGCTCTGGTGCTTAGGGAGGGCCCTTCCTTTTAGAAGTTGAGGTTGCTTTTTTCATGGAAGTTTTCTTTTCTCTTTTACTTTGTGAAAAAGCACTGGGATTTTACTACTAGTGAGAACTTGGGATCCCTTCAATCTAATGTCATGAACCCCTTATAGAATAAAAGTTCTCCCCCCACCCCCAATTGCACTGCAGTTCAAAGAGCTGCCCTGCAAGGGTTAATTGCCCGCCCAGCCTCCAGTTCTGAAATCCTGCACCCTAGCCCAGTCCCAGGTTGCCTAGCAACCAGAGCTGCTCTGGGATGCAGTTCGTGAACAGGGGAGGGAAAGGAGAAAAACAACTTGATCTGTCCGTGTCGCTAAATGTCACTGGGACATCAGTGCAGAGAAAGGACTGTAACCCAAGCCCTGGGGCCGCTTTGCCAGGTGGGAAAGGCTGCCCTGGGGCAGCCAGGGAGATTGTTATACCCCTCCGAGTGGGCTTACATAACTACTTGGCATTCGCAAGGGACTCTAAGATCAGTCAGTGGCGACAGCCCCCTCCACCCACACATGCATGCATATGTCGTGTGGGGCGGAGCCTGGCAGTGGGAGACAGACCAGGTTCCAGCTAAAGGTACCACTATCTCCTCCATCTCGGAGCCTCTGACTTCTCCCTCTGCCAAAGGTGGTAACCATTGGAATTTGGAGTTTGCAAAGATCTTCCTCCTTTACTACTGAATTTGATCCTTGCGACACCTCCACTCACTGGCACGTCACCGTTTTTCTCTCCTAACATTTGTCTCCACCTGAAATTACCTTGTTGACTTTTGCATCAACTTTGCCCCCAACTAGCATGTGAGTTCCAGCAGAGCAGGGCACAAGCCTGTCTTGTTTAAGGGACACTTGTTCTCACAGGGCCCACAGAGAAGGATACCCCTGGGGCTATGCAATGTGGGGTCTGCTGGCTCAGACCCATGTCCCCAGATCCTAGCCAACAGCCGGAGGCCATGTTACGAACGCATTACCTGTTTGTTTGATGAGTGAATGAATGAAAAAAAACCTCATTAAATGGTCATTGAAAGTAGCTTTTATCCCCATTTGAGAGCTGAGGACACAGGCTCCAAAAGAAGCATCTTGCCTGAGATCCTAAAGCATGCAGGTAGTGACAGGTGCTATGAAGCATCTGAAAATCAGGCGACAAGCTAAAGGATAACAGCGGCAGAGGGGAGGGAAGGATTGCTACTTTAGGTGGCAGAGGAAGGCCCCTCTAAGGAAGTGGCACCTGGGCAGTGTGGTAGGAGCAGAGGAGTCAGGAAGGAGGTGAGATGAGGTTGAGCCTCAGACAGGGCCGTCTCCCTCAGGGCTGGGCGGATGGGGTAAGGAGCTGGCCTTCCACTTCAATTGCCTTTGAATCAGGGAGTAATATGTACTAATTTTGTTTTAGGAAGATCACTCTGACCACTGTGCAGAGGAATTAGGGGGAGCCATTAGTGGACTGTTTCAGTAGCCCTGGGGAGACGTCACCATAACTTGGATCAAACCGATGAAGTGGAGATGGAGAAAAGTGTCAGGTGCTGGGTGTATTTTGGAGGCAAGTCGCCAGGACCTGTTTATGGATTAGGTGTAGGGTGTGAAGAAAAGAGAGGCTGTGCCTGGAGTTCTCAGCCTGAGAAGCCGTAGATACTGGGCTTGTGCAGATGGCGGACGAGCAGACTATGAAGGCACAGCAAGATCTTGGCACAAGCCATATTGAGTTTGAGATGCATGTCAGATCCCCAAGGGGAGAGTCAAGTGGACACAAGCATATTGGAGTCTGGAGCTCAAAGGAGATGTCCGGGCTAGAATGAGACCTGGAGTGTCATCAGTGCTCAGGTGGTATTTAGAGCCCTGAGATTGAACAGAGCAGCCAAGGAGAGAATGTAGAGACGAGCCTGGGGCACAGGCAGTTAGAGGCCTGGCAGCCGGCCTGGGTTAGCCGTAGGCAGGAATGCGGACCTTATTGCTTCGTCTCATTCATGGAAGTGTATTTCATGGAACGAGAAAGAATATCCTGAAGCTGTCAGTTCCATTCTTCATGCCTCAGTTTCCCCGTTAGCGAATTGGAAGATGCAGCATCTAGATTTAGGCTTGTCTGGAAAAGACGGTTTCCGAAGATGGCATCCCTTGGCCGAGGGCTGCCTCTTCTTCCAGGTCATGATAAGCCTGATCCTACTATAGCTGTGAGATGCCTGCAGAGAGAGATGATGGCCCACAGCTGCGGGCCACTGCCCAAGGTCAGTTCCAGAGTCCTGGGGACTGAGCAAGCCTTTAGAAATAGAACTGAATGCCAGGAGAGAATTATATTCCACGCACCGGGAAGGATCAGAAGATAAAGAAGACGAGAAGAGGGGTGTGAGAAAAAGGAAGAGGAAGCTTGAACTGAGATGGAAGAAAGAAGAAATGGAAAAGAAGAAGAGAGGAACTGAAGACAAAGAGATCCAGAGAAAGAAAGAAGGACAAGAACGAGCAAAGGAGAGGAGGGAGCCGAGGCTGGGGGAGATGCGTCTCACCTCAAGTTTGCAGAGAGGCAGCACCTGGGCGAGACATCACGTGGCGGCAGGCCCTTCTGGGAGGACAGCGAGGTTGAATGGAGGGGGAGTGTTATGTCCAAGTAATCCTCGTTTCCTGAGAAGACCGGCCGTGGACCAGGTGGGCCCCTGCAGCACGCGATGGCTGCCCAGGATGGGAAGCAAGGGGCATGCTGGGTAAGCCAAGGTACAGCCAAGACAGACCTGGACATGGATGTGGACAGGGGCTCTTGAGGGAGTCCGTGGGGTTGCTGGAGCTTGATGGGATCTCGAAGGATTTTCACAGATGGAGAAGGGGGAGTGTGAGGGCAAAAGTGATCCCGGCAGCAGGGACAGTGGGAGTGGCAGGAACCGAGAGCCAGAGGCACGAACAGCCCTGGCAAATTTCACGCAGGTGAATGGAGAGGTGCTGCTGAAGCGGAGGGTGGGTGCCGACATGTATTGAGAAATCAAGTCTCCTGGGAGCTGTGGGAGGACAGCTTCCTGCAGGAGTTGTGGACCTCGGAAAGGGAGAAAGGCAAACAAACGGACTGTAGCCAGCGGGTCCACCTGAAGAGGGAACATGAACATGATAATAACGGGCATTTATAGAGTTATAGAGCCCTCTCTGTGTGCCTGGCACATGCAACCACTCCATCTGTCAACAACAACGACGAAAATCCTCACAACGATGCTGTGAAGTAGACACCGTTGTTTATTTTTGACACTATTATTTTTAATCACCATTTTATAAATGAGGGTACTGAAGCTAACTTGCCCAAGCTCAACAAACCAGGAGTCTGGCTGCCGCCCTTTCTCACCCTGAACCCTCAAAAGAGAGTGCAACTGGGGCAGTTATCTAGAAAGAGGAAGCTGTGCCTTCGACATCCCACCCCAGCTA